TCGCTACTGCATGCACTGGCATCCGCATCTGATGACCCAGACATCAAACTCCGCGGAGCCTTCTCCGAGTTGCCACGTAGCATGCAGTGGCCGCCCAAAGAGCACGCAGACTTGCCTCACGAGCTCAGAACGCATGGGAAACTGGAAAGCCGCCGAAGCAGAGCCCGCAACAGTGTCCGCTCTCTTAGAAAAAGATATCAACGGATGGGTCGTCCGCGCAGAGATGTCCATCGAACATGCCAGACAGCATTGGCGCAAAGGTGTTGCAATAGGCAAACTCAATGTCGTGCATGCAGAAGGGAAGGAACCACGCCTGGTCCTAGACAGCACCGTGTGCGGAGTAAACCCCAAGCGCAACACCCCCGAACGCGTCAGCTTGCCGATGGCATCCGATGTGCGCCTCGCACTCATGCCGGAAGACACGCGTGCTTCTTTTAAATAGGCGCTAGCTTCGACTTTAAAGCTGCACATAAGCAAGTCCAAGTGCGCCCTAGCGAACACGGCTTGCTCCTGTTTCGCTACGCAGACACTCTGTACCACTACCGCGTATGTCATCTCGGAGCCCGGTTCTCCGCGTACTGGTGGCAACGCACGGGCGCATTCTTGCTCAGACTGCTGCACGGCATTCTGTCAGCGCACCCGCGCAGGGCTTGGTTATTTGTCGATGACCTCTTGGCTGCGCTGCGCCGCCCAAACGCGCATCAACAACTTGCTTTGATTGTCATCTTTTTGGCAGCCATCAGTGCGTCCATTTCCTGGAAGAAAGTGCAACTCCAAGACTGCCTGACTTGGTGCGGATGGTCCATTAATTTCTACCGAGAAACCATCGAGCTCACACCGCTTAAGACCCTTAAGCTTAAGGAGCAGCTGCATGCCCTGCTCCGATCAAAAAGAATCCAAAGAAAGCTTTTGGAGCAAGTGCTGGGGCTGCTTATCTGGGCCACCAGCCTGAGCCTGGAACTGAGATCTTGGCTTGCGCCTTTATATGCAGTTTACTGGAATACCAACAAACCCCAGTACGCAGTCCATCCGACTTGCCTCGAGTGGTGCCCAGTCACAAGACAGCTTGGGTGCGCATAGCCGACCCCGCTGCCGAGCACACTCGTTTGTCCAAAACAAGCAGAGCCAACATAGAGTGGCTTCTACAATGCTTTCAAGCAGACTTGGCATGCCCGCTGCAAAGCAAGCCAATCCTGGCTTGCAAGGCAGCCGCAGACGCATGTGCCGAAGGCACCAAAGTGGGCATAGGTGGCTGGTTCATTTTCAGCCGCAGAAACCAGCAACAATGGCCGTGCCTCACCAAGGAGGCCCAGCGTTACCTTGCTTGCTTCGAAACCTTGGCCCAGCTTGCACTCATGCGGGCACCGAGGGCCAAGCAGTGTATGCATGCCTTCCGGCACAGACAACACCGCATCCGAAGCCAGAGTGAACAAGCTGTTCACCACAGCGTGGCCTTTGCAGATTTTTGTGCAACTAGTAGCTGCATGGGCCTACAAGCACAAATGGTCTGTGCTAGCCTTGCACATCCCAGGCGAACACAACGTGTGGGCTGACCAGTTCAGATGCTCGCTTTCGTTTTCGCCCACATGATTTTTGGCCCCATAAATCCGCGCAGACGCCCCATGGCGGCCGGAACATAAACGTGCTTCGCAAACGCTCTGAAGAGGGGGCGATATATTAGGCCGTTTGCTTGGAACCCTGAAGTGGGGGCATTTGAGGGGGGTGCAGACACGGGGAAAGGACACGCTTTGTCTTTCTCCCTGCACCCCCGAGCCTTGACTTCCAAGCAACGCCTCATAAAGAAAAAGAGCAAGCGCACCTTTTGTCGGTCGTACTCTTTTGTCTTTTTGTTGCATGTTCCCTTGCGGCTTGAAGCAATGATCAAGATTCTAACTGTTGCGTTTTGGTTGCTGACCTCTCTGTTCTGTTTTTTTGTTTTGGCTTGTGTTGGTTTTGTTTGTAGCTACCCTTATGGTGGCACCTTGGCCTTCCATTGCTGGGTCGGTAAGCGTCTTTTTTGGATGATGTGCCAAACGGACCTACAAAGACAGTGGCTGGGAGGTGCACAAAAACCTCGCTCGACGCAACCATGTTGTTGGCTTTGCTTGGGTTTGTTTTGGTTTGTTTGTGGTTCCCCTTGTGGTGGCACCTTGGTAAGTTTTTTTTGGTGGATGATGCGAAGAGCAGACCGTCTGCAGGTGACAGTGGCTGCGAGGTGCAAAAAGAAAGAGAGTTGGAGTCACGCATGCCCATCGCTGTGCCGAACTAAAGGACAAAAACGTTCGTGACTAGTAGCAGGCTGTGGCCTGTCACCGCTTGCACAGTGTGTGTGGCTTGGAGAAAGCTTCGCGCCGCATGGCCATGCATCCAGATAAGCTCCAAAGCGCTGCGCCATTAAAAACCATTTGTCAGCCGACAGGTTCGTTGGAGAACAGGTTCAGTTCTTGGCAACTGGTTGTTGTTTGGCCACATGAGTCTTCGGCTGCGGTTCCTGTCTCCTTCTGCCTTCTTGCCTTTTGCATTGCTGTGGACACCCTGGCGCGAAGCACGGCCGTTCCAGGTTCCAGCAGCGCGCCGTCCTTTTGGTTTCTGGTGCTTTTTGTTTTGGGTTGCTAAGGTTTGCGCTGTGGCGTCTGTGGCCGGGGCCATGGTTTATTTTTCTGTAGTTTGCATCGTTTATGGCTGACCGTGTTTGTGGACAGTGGCAGCGAGGGGGAAAAACAAACTAGCCCTTCACTTGACTCATAGCGACTCAACCTTCAACGCTTCGCAAGTGGCAACTCGTCCTGGACTGTTGCAGGCTCTGAACAATTGGCCATCCCATCTTGCTGAGAAGGCAAGCGTTATGGATGCGCCTCAGTCTCTATCAGACTATTGCTTGAACCCACGCGAGACAGAGCATTTTTTCAATCTACACATGGCTATTTTCAGCGTCTTTGTGACCAATTGTTTTGACTTGCTCATGAATCAAGGCGACACTTGCGTGTTTGTGACAAAGTAGTGTTTCCGTGCGCCTGCTTTCATTTTTTGAAATGTTTGATCAACTTGAATCGCGATTCAAAGTGAACCATGCGTGTTGCTTGCATGCCTGTGCCAAGTTGGAACAATTTTGTGCAGGCAAAAACTGACAGCCCGGCAGAATTTTGCAAAACACGGCAAACTGGTTGTATCTGCTATGAATCCGCTTTGTGATAGATCGCTCGGTTTTCCGAATCCACAAGTTGCTCGTGGAGGTTTGGGTAAGTGGGGATTCCATTTTTCTGAACTCACTTGTTAGCAGGGTGCAAGTGCGCTGGAATGATTGCGCTCGCATTCGGGTGCGGGTTTTGTGTAGTGGGCTCGGCGAATTGACATTTGGGCACAGGCGCGTTGGATTTGGTAAGGATTTGGGCACCAGATTGTGACGTCATCGCAGGCGGAACCACTAGGGCCACGCTTGGAGTTATGAATGTGTGAGGACTGCAGTCTTTGACTTGTCAAGGCGGCAGTTGACCTGCCAACAATGTAATGTGCAATGGCCATTGAAGTTCCATATTATGGTTTTGGGTGGCAAAGGGCTACCTAGTGTTTTGCTCCATTGGGAACTCAGGAGATTGAAGGGACCACCAAGCGGAGTTGAACAACTTGTTTTGGATTGTGTCTTATCCTTTGCACTTGTGGTGGCGGTCAGAAAAGCAAAAAGCATCTTGGCGACATGAAACACATCAAAACAAGTTGTGATGGCATGATCACCAAAGTGAACGACACGCACAGCAAAGGCACTTTGAGCAATCTCATATTCCAGTGCTCTGATGTAATGTCATGGCTTTGCCACGGCCTGTCACTTTCGCTGCTCGCTTGCATTGGCAACCAATTCACACGTCGGATTGCCACGAGAGTCAGGCTGAGCATTGCTTGTGGGCGGTTGCACAGCATCTTTTTGCAGCAGCTCGCCCAGGACCTCGATAACTTTCACAGATTGGAATGGCTTGCGGCCCAGCGCTTCTTGTGAAGCTGCATCAAAGTCATCAAGCTGGGTGGATTTGGGGTTGCAGCTTCGGTGCCAGCAAGGTATACAGCATCCAGGCACCTGAACAACTTGCTGGCGCAGAAGGGCTTTTGCTTCGTCGAGGGCTCACTGGAAAAGGCAGGGTTTGTCTTCAGATCGCGCGCGGGGTTGGCAGATCCGGCATGAATTCTTTCGGAAAGAGGATATGTCCGATGAGAAGTGTCAAAATTTAGACCAGTCGTGGAGCTTTCAAGAGTTCTGATAAAATGTATGGACATTATAAGATTTGGTTTGTTTTCCAATACATCTGGTTTTACTCTCAAGCTGGTCTCATGCAAGTTGGGGGACCTGGCAGGCTGATGCAGAGCTCGTTGAGCACGAGGCCATGGAACCCACCGCTGCCGGGGAGAGGGTCTGGGTGCTTTTTGATTGGCATACCATGTCTTGTGTGTGTTTTCTGCCTTGCAAGTGTTGCTCTGCCTTAACACTTGGGCGTGGAAAGACTGCTTCCTCAGGCTAGAGCTGCAGATCGTAAGATTGATTAGCTGGTACATTTGGATTGCGGGCTCATTGCATCCTTAGAGCCAAGAAGTCGTGGCCTACCTCAGTGCGGGATGATTTAGTTGACGAATGCCAACCACAAGCCTGCACATGCCCAAATGCCAACCACATGTCCATGGTTTGCAGTTCGCCGCAGAAAAAATGCCGCGTCGAGCGCGAAAATCTGATGCATTGAGCCAAAAAACCCAAGGTTTGGACCGGCTCTGTGGTTCCCATGGCTGATGGGGTGGCAATTTGCGCATCCGTCTTGACGGCTCAGGCAGTACATAGGTGTGGGCCGGAAAACGCACGGCTTTTTTTTTGGGTTTGCTGGGATGTGGGGGGGCTTAAATTTACACATCTTGCGCGCCAGAGAAAAACTCCATGCAAGCGCGATAGAGATATACCAGCGGATTGAGCAAGACACGAGTCGATGAGCATCGCTTCGGAGAGCAGAGGAAACTGGAGAGCCATGGCCTGGAGCCTTAGGCGCACGAGTTTGGCAGCTTTGCTACGGGATGCTGGTCCGTGTGTCCATTCGAGTGTTTGAAATCGGCGAGCTTTCCGCGAGTTTCTTTGGGGGAACTCGACCCTGCTAAGCTCCTGATTCCCAAACCCCAGTTATGAATTGGGGGTTTTGCTGGATTGGAAAGCCCGCCAAAATACTCTCTGTTTGACATAAGGTCAATGTTCTGGCCAGGCCTTTGTCAGGTGGTGCGGCACAGCGGCTACCCGAAACAGGCGAAGCGGGCTAGACAATGTTGATGGGCTTGAGGCGGTCGGGCAAGATGAGTGATTTAAAGTTAAAGACATGGCAGGGACATGATCAAGTCTAATGTTTTTTGGAGCCAGGCCATGGAATGCTCCGTGAGCTCTGCCTGATTTGCCAGGTGTTGTTCAACTCGGCCGCCACGCTGATTGCAAAGTTTCCTGTGTCTGCCCGAGGATCTTTTTTCCTTTCCCGCGGGCCGCTTTTCACTCCAACTCCTTCGTGTCGCCCTTTGGCTCAGGTCAGGACCCAGCCATCAGCGGCCCGTCGCTCAGTGCGAGAAGCCAACAGTGGATTCGCCAGAAACTGGGGAGCCTTGGTCGATTTCGCTGTATTCGCCGTGCTTTTGCCGAAAACTGGCCTGGCGGAAGTCGACCAAAACATTTTGGTGCGGCCAAGGTAAGCATTGCAGGTTGCAGTGTGAAGGGCCTCTTCCTCAGCGGGAGTGTGTGTCAGAGAGGCATGGCAAGCAGCTGGTTTTGGTTGCAAGCTGCGAGCAGCGACCCTTGACCTCGATTGTCAACAAGATTTTGAGGTGTGCATGCTCTGCAAAGCCAGAATTTATGCGAGTAGTCAGTTGGGGCCCAGTTTTGACACATGTGAAAACTGCGGCACCATTTTGCTCCATCTTGAAAGAACACCAAAACGATAGTCAAAGTAACCAACCATTTGGAGGGGCTCCAGGTTTGTCACGTGTAAGCAAGTCTCCCACCTAGGCCGAGTGTCTCAGTGGAAGACTGCAGCACGACTGGGGCCTAGCTCATTGGCCAAAGAACCGAATTCCTGGCAGGGATCCCTTGGCGCGGCTCAGGAACGGCACCTTTGTGAACGGCATCCGCTTGGAAAAGGGCCACGGCCTCACAATCAGATCCGTGGGCAGTGCTTGAGAAAGAATTGCCAGGTTGGTCATTCTCAGATTGCTGCCACGGCAGTGTTGCCTAGTCCAAGGTTTGATCTCGAGTCTCAAGTTCAGATGCATCACTGCATGCCCCCTTGGACTGACAACAGGGCGCTGATATCTTGTGCAATATCATGTGGCCTCACAGCTCTGGTGCCGCCCAGCAGGGCATGCGTTGCCAGACCATGTTGTTACCTTGAGTACTGATGGTCCACTGGAGGCACAAATAGAGTGATTGCTCAACAGTTTTGGGTAGATGTTTTGTTCATGCACATTTTTGATGCTAGCTCACTGAAGGAAATACATGACATGCCATTTTACATTTTGTGCAAGTGCACAACAGACTCTGACTGCACCAAGCATCAAGCAGGCGCTGCAGATGCCCAACCAATATCAAATCTGATTGTCAGCTTGCTTGCACAGGGATGACTGTCTTGTGGTTTGGCTCCGGCTCGGAAACAAACAAAACAACAACTCACCTCTCCGCCTCTCCGGCGCCGCCCTGAAGCATAACAAACATGTCCCGCCCAGCCGCCGAGGCCAAAGACACGCCCTTTCGCCTGGCGACCATTTAGTGCTGGCATCGACTGAAGGCACTGGGTGTGAACGATAAGAGTGGCTAAGATTCCACTTGTGGGATGCTTGTAAGGCATCACAGTGAGGGAAGCCACAAGTGATTGGCAAGACGGTTTGTGCCTGTGAGACTGTGGAGGCTCTTGCCAATTCCGACTTGAGGGCCCTCAGGGCTGCGACCATATGGAGGCTCATAGAGGGTCCATGGAGCCTTGGGTGCCTTAAGCCGCATTTGGGTTTTGGGTTGTCGGCAGGAAGCAACCCCGAGAGGATGGACATGGAATTGATGCCATGTGCAGATCTTGGATGGATCTGGGATGTTTTAATTGACGTCAAAACTTACCCACAGATTGCCGAACCAACACAGCAACATGCCAACCGGAGCAATGCGCATGAGACATGCGCGTGGTTGCTCGCGGATGCAGGCCCCTCGCAAGCTACGCAAATTAAATGGACTACTCGGAGGTCATGACGGGACGCTTGGCTGCTGGAACCTGGGGCTGATGGCTGTCAAGCTTGCCCAATTCTAGTCTTGGTGCTTGCGATTGGCTCAGGAAAAGCGGTGAGCGCCCGGCCTTGGGACAGTCTACTCCCTCCGTCAGCAAGCAGGATGATCTTCAGGCTAGCGATGTGGTGAGCACTGCCGAGCAGCACGACAGCAAGTGCCCAGCTCCAGAACAGGCTGTTGCTTCCCAGTGCGGAACGACTCCCCTCGAGCGGCGTATCTCGCCCGAGGCTGTGACAGACAAGAACAGTGGAGTCGCCAGGGCTGATTCCTTGCCTGACTTTGATGTCACGAAGGCCGAGTCCTTGCCCGACTTTGATGCAGAGGCCATGCATGCGCCGTCCTCCTGCCAGTTGGATGAGGCCCAGCCTCAGAAGCGACGAAGGCTGACGAAGTCCAAGACCATGGTGCCGAAGCTGAGTGGCCCAGCCCTGCTGCAGTGGCTGATGCGAAGGCGCCTTTGCCGAGACGGGACGCAAGGGACGCCTGCCCCGGAGCGGGGCTTTCGGCCGGAGAGCGGGCGCCGCAGGGCGGAAGTCCTGTTGCAGGACCAGGTCCGCGAGGTGCGGCACCTGGCCAGCGCGAACGCGGAGGATCGCTTGGTGCCGCGGCCGGCGGCGTGCCGGTGGCACCTCAAGGGCGAGGCTCTGACAGTGCTGTCCTCCACGCGGCTGCCCATTGAGCCCGCCCTCGGGGCCCAAGCCATCGAGGCCTGGGAGGCCGTGCGCCGACCCACCGCCGCCGAGGCGGCCCGGGCCTTCACCCGGTCCCAGGTGCGGCCCAAGGCAGCGGCGGCCGCTCCCTGGGCGCGGCATGAAGAGTTGCAGGAGGCAGAGGGACGGGTCAAATTTGTGAGGGATAGCCCAAAGACGCAAGACAGCCTTCCTTGAGACCATGAAGCTGAACAGGAGCATGAACGCACTTTGGGCACAATCCTTTCTCTATGTTGCCAGGGACTACCCCAAAGCCTGCATAGAAGCCACGCATCACCCACCTCGCCCCGATCAAAACTAGGGTACAGACCGAGTACATCTGTTTCTTTGGGCATACAGTTGCCCTTGCAAACCTCCGCGAATTTGGGGAGGGAACCAATTTGAGGAGTGCTTTCATTGGTTTGAGGTGGTTCCCGAATGAGACAAGCCTTCTGACAAGCCTTCTAGGTCTGCCCTTGTGGAGACTCCAAAGCTGTGAGGCCCTTGAATGCGAAGCCTGGCACCAGCAGCTGCAACGCCGATGCCAGCTGGAGGCACCTTTGTTCGGTTTCCCAGCTGCGGAGCCTCTCGCGAGATGCACACTTTGGCAGTATATTTAACCGCCGTTGGCGTGTTCCGCCGGCTCCCACGGCTGTGGGTGCTGAATTCAGGTTTTGTTTTAAAGGAAATCAGAGGAAATGACATAGTCTAAGGTGGCCCCCCCTTCCTTCTTTCCCCCTTTTTCTTTGCTTTGGTTCGTAAAATCGGGTTCCTTGTGCGCATGCTGCGGATTTGCTTGCGCGTTTGTCTGAAGTGCCTCCCAGTGCACAGCGCGAGAGTGTTTGTAGTTGGTAATTGTAGGGTGGTTTTTAGAGGAAACCTAGAGGAAATCACATAGTCTAATGTGGCCCCCCCTTCCTCCTTTTCTTCGTTTTGGTGGCATGAGCAACTTGGGAGGTGTCTTTCGTAAAAGCGGGCATGTTTTTGCATTCCTTTTCCTTGCGTGCATGCTGGTGGATTTGCTTGCGCGTTTGTCTCAAGTGACAGATAGAGAGAAAGTGCCTCCCAGTGCACAGCGCGGGAGTGCTTGCAATTGGCAAGGGTCGTCTGCGACCGAACTAGTTTTTCGTAGGTGCGCCATGCTGTGAAATTCGTAGTGCCGATTTCGGGTGTTCTCTCAGTCGAGCTTCAGAAAAACTTCTTTCCTTGGCGGATCACTCAGGCCAAAGGAGGTCGAATGGATGCCAGAGGTGGCAGCTTCATCAGATAGTCAACGGTTCCACCGATAGCTGCTGTCGGATTGGCTGCCGTAGTCTCCGTAGTCGTGCCAGGTCGAGTCGCCGTAGTCTTTCTACTTGTTGTATTCCTTATACTCTTGCTGAGTCCAGGATTGCTTCTTCTTGAAGTACTCCTTGGATCGCTCAAAGTTTCGCTGCTTGGTGGCAGATCTGCTGCGGATGTAGACCATCAGCGGACTGTGTGAATCGGAATCTTGAGAGCCATTCATGAACATCTCGTTGTTCACGTGCTTGAAACGTTCCGCGGATGAGACCTGATAGTCGAAAATGGCAGTCGTAGGATCGTTCCGCATGGTTTCCAGTTGATCATCTTTCATTGCGTCCATCTCTTCCTTCCGGAAATGCTGTTGGATGTTTGTCTTGCCCCACCCAAATACGAAAGTCATCATGACATCTGGGAATGTTCGATCAAACCCGGATCCAGTCTTCATGTATAGGTGATGACGGACGATGGATTTCAGGGTGCAGGAAGTCTCCATTGCATATTCCATTCTGTCCGAGTGGCAAGTTCTCCGTTTCATTCCACAATCTCTGGTATGCCTTCATGAGGATATTCATGAGACCGTTGGCCGGATTGTAAACCTGTTTTGTTGGCGTCTCCGGTGATCGCATCGCATTTATACAATGTCACGAGCGGCATGATTTCGGTTTGAAAATCGTCCCGTGCTGCTCCGTGGCTGATTGATGGATGGATGTGAAAAACTCCAATGGTAGCAAACGGGAGGTCTGCCCTCGTCACATGGCGGCTGTCGAATTCGAGGAGTGAATCATTGGATGACTTTGGAAACACGCCACGAAATTCATCACTTTGCTCGATGTGGATGACGACAATTTCCTTGTTGCGCCCATGTCCTTGGACAGTTGTGCGTGGCGGCAACCTTGGTCCAATGTATTTCTTGGATTCCCTGAATATGGATGTTCCTGTGGTTGCCCGGCAGTCAGAGGTCGGGATGTCGTATTCGGCATCAGTGCAATGGTTCTCGGTTCCGAAGAAGCATCTGAACATACCGAATGTAGTTCCCCAGTTTTGACTCCTTGTGCACTCTTGCGGACGGTCCGCCGCGGACAAAGCGTGCGATTGGTCTGGATGACCATTGCTTGATGACTATGCCCTTGTATCCAAACCGGATGAACGTCTTGATGAGTTCCTTGGATTTCTCATCTTGAGGACTGAGGAATGCGTCTGCTTCATTTAGGCATATGATGTGCGCGCTGTTCTGCATCATCATCCTCGTGATTGGTCGATCCTTCATCGCCATGTTGTTCACCTCCTTGTTGTCCAGCTTTGGATTCCTCGTAAGGTTTCTGTGGTTCATGGTGAGCATGTTGATCGTCATGGATGAGGTGAACTCATGTGCCTTGAGATGGTCCACAGGAGAACGGTCAGTTGGCTGCATCAGCGATCCCAGGATGTCAGCAAACGCCTGGATGACCTCTGGTTTGTCATATGTCTTGAGCTTCTTTCATCCAATTGGAAGCTTGATCAGATATCCTGATGTTGGCTGTGCCTTCCTGAACTCTTCCACGGATGGCCGTTCTCCTCGATGGTGGAAATAGAATTCTTCTTCCTCGAGGTTGACATCTGGATCGACATGTGCCAATGAGGCTCGCTCGCATTCTGTCAATTCGGGATGAGCTCTCTTTGGATCCCTGTTGTACTTCTCCACGAAGCGGATGAAGTTCTTTTTGTTTTTTTTGAGCTCTTCCTCGCCGTCCTTCTTGTTCATGTCTATTTCAAGGTATATCTCCTTGAATTCCTTGATGACCTCTTCTAGGTTCTCGGGATTGTGATACTCCATGGTGACCTGCGGCTTGACGGATCTCTCCCGGAGGGTTCCATGTTCTCCTCATCATTTTCATCCTGATCGGTGGAGTGCCGTCGCTTCTTGGTCTCTGTGGATGTATCTTCTCCATATTTTATCTTGTTGGTCGATATTCACATATTTGAAGAAGGCATCGGCGAATTCATGGATCTTGGTGTTGTGCATCTCAACGTCTTCACGACCGAGAGACTTCTTCATGATCCATCAGGATCAAATGCTGCAACAATATTCTTCGCCTCGACGGTTTGTTCTGTCAATGCTGTTCGCTCTTCGGAGCGTCGGATGCCGTAGTCCTGGTCCTTGAGGAATGCAAGGATCAACAATGCATCTCTTCCTGTTGGCACATGTGTCAATGCTGCTTCTGACGCGTCGTCGTCGAGGATAACGTCGTCGAGGCATGCCATGTGGATGTGCACTCTCCCCGAAGGGTTTGACTGGGATTTCCCAGCTTTGAGCCTTCTCCATGATGCTGATCAGCAGATCTCCATATGTTGCATGAACATGAACGTGATGGGCTTTTTCGCAAACGGCTTGATCTTTCTCTCTTCTTCAATGGATGGTGGTGCCGGCCTTCGCATTCTGTATTTTGCCTGAGCTGTGCCTTCATCTTCATGGGGCTCGTCGGATCTTGAAGGATGCGGACTTGGAGGAATGGATTCTGTTGGAAGATCGTAGTCCGGTTCTTCTTGACGAGGTTCACTCTTCTGTCCAGGCCAAAGGCATCTCACGTGAGGAATCCTCTGCCATCAGGCCTGAGTGCATCGCATGCGGATCTGGATGTGAGGTTGTCGATCCATCGATTCCTTGGAACAATGCGTCCCTTGTCCTTGCGTTCATTGTATGACCCGTCCACGGATGGATACACAAAAGCAATCTCGAAACGTGCCTTTCCATAATCCATCAGAAAAAGTCCTGGCTTATTGCCCATGAAGTTCCTCGCATGTGTAATGCATCCCAATGCATCGTAGAGCTGATTCTTCGGATGTATACCACCGATCGTTGGATGTGAGAGTTGTCCGCATCGCTGGTCGCCTTGGAAGTGCAGGTTGTTCACCAGGATTGTTGTCGGATTCTGTCTCCTCATCCAATGTCTTCCTTGGTGCTGGCTTAGCCTTTGACACAAGCCTCAGGGTCGGTGGTGGTGACTTCGGAACCAGTTTCGGATGTGGCATCGCCTTCGGCTTCGGATTTCCTGCGGAAGGTTGCTCTTCTTCATCCGGATCATCATCTCGATCGTAATCTGCCTGCTCCATGTTGACATTATCTGGTTGTTGAGAGGCGGATGGATTCTCATCGGCGACCTGCTCCATGGGGCAGTCGGATGTTTCATCTTCCTCGTCTCGAGCAGGGGATTCCTTCAAAGGAGATGCACGTCTCTTCACTAGCGGCTTCGGCGAAGGAGCCGCAGTGCCGGATCGTCCAAAGATCATATTGAAAATCGGCATGTCTTCGAGGTGATCAAGCATACACGATTGCAAAGGTCGGAATGGTTGTAAACCAAAGTGGCTGCGGATGCAGACACATATTTCTTGAGATTCAAAATGGGTCAAGTGCAAAAAACACGCATCACGGATTTGAGGAATTGAAAATGTGCAAAATGTGGACAGGCGGATCATGCCCAGGTTCCCCAATAAGCAAACGTGGATTCTGCTATACCGACTCCTGCAAAGGCAATGATGTCGGGTCCGTGCTTCGTATTGTGTGCTAGCCACTCAACCAAAAATGCCTTGTTCTGCAACATAGTACGGAAAGGTGGATGTGCATCAACATTCAAGAGATTGCCGGTGAGGACGGCCTTGATGAGCTCGTCTGCTTTAGCTGAATGCTTGGTCAGCGAATCTGCCAGGCAATCTTCACTTCGTACATGTGCAAGGTCATGCATCTGTCCGCTGTTGCTTTCTTTTCTCAACATTTGGATCAAATGCAATGTTTCTTTCTGTTCCGGTTGATGTGTTGTTGATGCTGTGGTGACAAGATTATTCGCATCAGTGCGGATGTACATCTGCGATTTCGCCTGTTATGTCTGACCAGAGCCCGCGAAGAAATAATGCTGAACCGTAACAACGCATCAGTCCGTGTAATTCTGCAACAGTAATGGACATTGTTGTGGCGGTGATCTTGTGCGTCTCATAGTCGACCAATGAGCCTCTCGAGTTCGATGAGCCCTGGCGAAGATCTCTTTGTTCTGCAAGAACTATAACAGGCGCACTTTGGGATGACTTGTCTTCATTGTTGCGATAGGATGCATCTGGATAACCAACTATGCGTGTCTTGCCACGAAGGGGCCAGAATCTCATACTAAGCGGAATGCTTTTGATGGTTCTGACTGTCTTATTAATGGCGCGAACGTCCTCAATGGTCGGAGATGATGCCTTGGATGCGCGCCTGGAGAATTGATAACCAATGTGGAATTGCGTTCGCGATTGTAACCAA